GACTTCCTTTTTAAATAGTTCTAGAGTTCCTAATAGGTTAAACACATAGTTCTGCTCGTTAAAGCGAAAAAATCGCTTAGTGCAAGTGAGACGCCAACTTCACGCAGCGTCTCACTTTGTCCTACGACATTTCCGTATCAGAAATTATCAGAAATGAAAAGATCTATAGTTCTATATGAGTTCTAAGAAGAGTTCTACCTTCTAAAAGCAAAAATATTAATTCAACCAAAATTAAGATAATCGGATAGCTATATCTATAAACGTCGAAGGGAGACGCCAATCGATTTTAATAGTTCTGCTTATTCTAAAGCAGTTCTGGCACAGTTCTGGGCATGTGTATTGAGTTTCCAAAGAGTTCTGATAATTAAAACACTTAAAAATTATTTTAATTAATTATTTAACCCGAAAAACGCCTATTTTTAACTCTAAATGTAAGACGCCAGTAGATTTTCGAGAGTTCTGTTTTTTCGAAAACAGTTCTCGTATAATATTTGACATGCGCATTGAGTTTCCTGAGAGTTCTGATCAATAGAACACTCCAAAACTATTTTAATTAATTATTTGACCTGATAAACGCTTGTTTTTGACTCGAACGATGAAAAAAATATTTATGTAAAATTACATGATCATTCTAGGTCTTAACTCTCGGTCAAATGGAAAGCTTGTAACAAATTGGTACAGGAAGAACACGTGTTCGAACAGATATATGAATTTCTTTTCCAATCACCCTTTTAAATATAAAATGAACACAATTTTTAATGTTGTAGATTTTGCGATTCTCTTATCTAATGACCAGTTTTACACGAGAATATTAATATCGTGAAACAGATTTTATTTAATAACTGCTTTCCTAAACATGTAATTGATCGTTGGTTAATAAAAGGATTAATTTTTTGAAACACAGAATCATGATGAATCGAGTAATGAGCGAATATTGTTGAGAATCTCCTTTCATTTCACTACTTATATCAGGTCAAATATTATAATAGTTTCGGTGTGTTCTATTAAAAATTGTGTTCATTTTATATTTAAAAGGGTGATTGGAAAAGAAATTTATATATCTGTTCGAACACGTGTTCTTCCTGTACCAATTTGTTACAAGCTTTCCATTTGACCGAGAGTTAAGACCTAGAATGATTATGTAATTTTACATAAATATTTTTTTCATTGTTCGAGTCAAAAACAAGCGTTTATCAGGTCAAATAATTAATTAAAATAGTTTTGGAGTGTTCTATTGATCAGAACTCTCAGGAAACTCAATGCGCATGTCAAATATTATACCAAACTGTTTTCGAAAAAACAGAACTCTCGAAAATCTACTGGCGCCTTACATTTAGAGTTAAAAATAGGCGTTTTCGGGTTAAATAATTAATTAAAATAATTTTAAGTGTTTTAATTATCAGAACTCTTTGGAAACTCAATGCACATGCCCAGAACTATACGAGAACTGCTTTAGAATAAGCAGAACTGTTAAAAATCGACTGGCGTCTCACCTTTAGAATCGAAAATAGACGTTTTTCGGGTTACATAATTAATTAAAATAATTTTAAGTGTTTTAATTATCAGAACTCTTTGGAAACTCAATACACATGCCCAGAACTGTGCCAGAACTGCTTTAGAATAAGCAGAACTATTAAAAATCGATTGGCGTCTCCCTTCGACACTTATAGATATAGCTATCCGATTATCTTAATTTTGGTTGAATTAATATTTTTTGGTTTTAGAAGGTAGAACTCTTTTTAAAACTCATATAGAACTATAGATCTTTTCATTTCTGATAATTTCTGATACGGAAATGTCGTAGGACAAGTGAGACGCTGCGTGAAGTTGGCGTCTCACTTTGCACTAAGCGATTTTTTCGCTTTAACGAGCAGAACTATGTGTTTTAACTTATTAGGAACTCTAGTACTATTAAAAAGGAAGTCAGAACTCCCAAAATATAATGAGTTTCCGCAAAATGATACGCCAACTTCACAGGAATAGATTCTTTGAGAATGCTTCTGGGAGCAGGTCGGGAATCGGAGTGTCTGTTCGCAAGATTTTTTTTCCTTAAACGTCCCTGGGGTCGGGCGGTTGTGTTCTCGGGAACTTTTGGCGCGCTCGTGAGATTTCGGAAGTTTCGTCGCGTGGCGCGGCTTAGGGACGGTCGGTTGCCCGCGCGTTGTTCGGAACGACGGTGACGACCGTTCGTTTTATTTAGGCTGCGTTCGAAAACGTCCTCCACAGACATAGAAGTGATATAGAAAGAGAGGGAATGCACTCGGGGGACGTTTTGAACGCAGCCTTACATGTAATAAAATGTGGCGTATTGCGCTTGCTGCCGATATTCGCCGGTGCAGCTGCGGTGGAGATGTTTGGTCGAGCCAGGGTTTGTTACAATGTTTTAGAAACGCCTCGACTTCAGCTACAAGAATATGTAATAAAAAGTAGGATTTCTATTTAAGATTTTCATGTTGACCTTGACGGGGCTTTTCACAGTCATCCAAAAATTAAACAATTCATCACCTAATAGTTTTTTTTAAGCCCTACTTTTTTATTTGAAATATTTTTTTATTAAATCAATATTTTCTGACAAAGGAACGGTCGGAAGTGTCCCCCCCGATTTTAATGAGTCTTGAATATGTTGTAGAGCATTGAAAAATATTAGATCCGTATTTTTTAGTGGCGTATCTCGACGTTTAGGGGTAAAACATTCCCTTGAAAAAATCGTTTTTTTTTTTATTTCTGAGCTAATATGTCGAAACGGTAAAAGATATAAAAAAATGTTTCAAATAAAGTTAGGTTTTTTTTTATGTTCATTAAAAAGACGTAATCAAATTTTTTAAAAATGTCAAATTTAACAAAAATTAAAAATTTTCCCCCCTTTCCACAATTTGATTGCAAACGCCGCTAAAAATACAGGTCTAATATTTTTTAATGTTCTACAATATAATATTCAAGGCTCATTAAAATCGGTGAGGAACGCTGAAATGAGATATTTTGTGAAATATTTTGTAAAATATTTTGCTCTTCCGAAACTTTTGCTTCTCACTGTGTGTTGATATATTAATGTAGAATTTATTGTTAGTTGTTTTATAATTTGTATTAATTTTGAAAAAGAAAGTAAAAATTTGTCATGCATCACTTTCAGTTGAAACCAGTACGCAGTTTAGACAACTTGAGACCTGCATGGAGTGGGCATTTACGGCACAATCCTTCACCTAGTACTATCATTACAAATCCATTTGAAATTTTATCGAAAAAGCCCATTTTAAATTCGTCCCCTTATCCTCTTCCTTCAGATACTTTGTTCGATCAATCAAAAATGTTAACTTCTAACTCACTAACTTTGGAAAGACAAACGGAATTGTAAAAGAAGTAGATAAAACATTACTTTCATCTACGTCATCTGCATCACATAATCTAAATATTGAACGAAATCGATTTTTACATGAATTAAATATACATAAGGATTTAATAAAACCTGTTGTTGACTTATCATGTATTCATAAAAAAGAGAATTTCAAGATGGAAGAAAATTTTTCTTCGAACGATAAAAAGTTTAACTATAAAATAGTTTTACAAATAGTAATTCAATAGCAAATACATGGGATAGTGAATCTTTCAAAACATCAAGTTTTCTTCATGAAGTAAATGAAGATGATCCTTTTGACACGAGTAAAGTATTTATGCCTATCTATTTGCAAACAACACCACTTTTTAAATCCAAAACTCCTTTAATGCCCGCTCAATTTCATCCATTATCACATCCACTCAATACTACATCCTGCTCTGCACATGTTAAGGTAAACAACATCGTTAATTATTTTTTTACATCTACGAATATATATTAATCTATATTTCGATCAATTTATATATAATTGTTTGTTCTGTAAAGTATAACATACTTATTGTTAGAATGTTTTAGATTTGCCGAATTATTTCTAATTACTAGAAGCAAATATTAGAAAACGAATTAAAAATGATATTTATTATTCCAATATTGATTTTGAGATAGTTATCAATAGTTACAGTTGGGATATTCCGTGTCTACCGGAACAATTTTACGACCAAAATTGAGGATTAGCTAAAAAATTCCTCTTTGACCAAAAATTACTTTAATATATCTGAAACGGTGTGTTTTTATCAAATAAATTAATTAGCTAGAATTGATCAAATATTAAAAAAATTTTGTGTTTAATTTAATTTATTATCAGACGTTTCTTAATTATTATTATTGTTTAATATATCTATTTTATAATAATATTTATAAGTTAATCCAATATTGCGGCGTCAAAATGACTGTTTTGTTTTTCAAATTAATCAATATTGAGCAATTACTTCATTAACTCTAGAAAACAATAACAGAATCTGAAAAAAACGCTGCTTTTGAAATTTTTCAGTCGTTATATTGGAGTTGTTTTTTTTAACTTTTAGTAGCTTCTTAAAGCAGATACATTAATATACATTTTAAGAGTATAAAAGAATTTTCAGATCATATAATTTTTTGCATAGAACAGATTAATGAATTAGTTTGTGTTTTTGAAAATAAAACAGTCATTTTGAGGCCGTCATATTGGATTCTTCTAAAATACCACATGGTCTATTATAAAATAGATATATTAAATTAATTTTTCCGCCTAAAGAGGGATTTTTAGCTCATCTTCGATTTTGGTCGCAAAGCTGTTCTGGTTGATACGGAGCATCCCAGTTATAAGTTATTTTTATAAAGTATTCCTAAATTACCTTTTGGTGAATTACATTACAAGGACATGATTAGATAATAAAATCTTGTTTTCTCCAGCAAGAAAATTTAAAATTTAATTATCGAACATTTTAAGAAGCTGCAAAAATATACTCGGTAAATCTATTTCTGTAAAATTCGTTTCTTTTATTTATTTCTGTTGTCATGTTGTCCATGTTGTCCATGTTAGCTTTGGCTATAATAAATATTGATTGATGTAATTCATACATGAGTATATAAAGTGAAATTATTAAATTATAACATCCAATAATTAGATGTATATATAAAATGTTTCAGAATTAAACACCTTAATTTAAAATATGAATTTAAAACTTTAAATTTAGATAAATCTTCACAAAAACAGCACAGGATTACCTCAATTTACACTTATATTATAGAAGGTTCATGTCTGAGTACAAGCATTTGTAATTAAGCGGCATTCTCTTATTGTTTCTGAAATACTTAAATTAAAGATATATGATTGAAATTAATATAATACAACAATATATTATTATTATGGATTATTGTAATTATTTATAGAATATTTGAATAATTAAATATATTGAATATTTATTCGACTACTATTTTTATTTAATTTTATTGTAAAAATTACGAAGAGTTTATTAAATAATAAGTAGATAAAAGTATAAATACTATGAATGTAATTGTATGTACTATGAATGTAATTTCTCAAAAATGTCTTTTTCAAAATAATTATTATACACAGTTAAATTTGCCATGAAATTGTTTCTATCTTTAGAAAAATTTTTAATTTTCAAAATGAGGGGATGATATTTTATTAACAGAGGATGATAATTTAGTAAAAGATATGCAAAACGCATATCTCTTACTAAATAATTATTCATAAGTTATGTTTCATGCATGTTTAATGCATGCTATCTCAAATTTTTTGTGAAATTTTAGATTCAAAAATGTTAATTTTAGATCCAATGTTTAAATAATACCCAAGTAGCACAATGACGTCATAATGACGGCCAATTTTGGTCACAAAAGACCAATGAGACGTCCCAGTTAGGTCCTAAGACCAATGAAATCCAAAAATGACGTCGAAATGTCACATCCATGAGACGTCATTTTCTGACGACTTATTGACGTCATTTTGACGTCTTTTGACGGCATAATATGACGAATATAAGACTTAAATTGATGAAATTTTTACAATTTTAACAATTAATATACACATAGTATCAGTTATAACTCATAATAAGAATTCGATAATATAAAATATAAAAATTTAAAGTATATTCGACAACAGAAAAATGCCTTAGTAATAAATAAATTTACGCACATGTATGTACATTTATTTGTTAAAAATCATTCTTTGTTGCCGAGTACACTTTACATTAGAAGAATATACTTATGACACTTTACTCTTAACAGTCTCTGTTTGTCAGCTTTATATAATTCTCTATATAATTATATATTTCTCTGACTAAAACTTACATGCGAGATAGAGGATATTGTGGTGCGTCGCACAGCGATAAATTAAGGAACTAAATTAGGACGTCTTTAAGACGTCTTTAAAATAATGTCTTTATTTGGTCTAAAAATGACGTCTTATAAACGTCCATTATTAATCGCTGACGTCATAGATTAAAAAATGACTAAAATAGGCGTCATAATGACGTCTTCTGACGTCACTTTGTTACTTGGGTAATTATATAATTTTGTACTGTGTAATGGTTTTTATAATTATGAAATCAGTCTCTAAAATGTATTTTGTAATAATTTTGCTAAGATGATTAGCGTTAATATTACAATTATAGCAGCATTTATTTTAGGCGTCAATTTTATAAAAATTGCTACACGTTACATATTTACTTAAATATGCAAATTGCAAACAATATAGAATTCATGTTCGCTAAAGCTTAAATTGTCACACTGTTGTAATTAACACATGTTTACATTATCAATTTTATTTGTTAACTAGTTTTTCTTAGTAAATAATTTTTTATCAATAAATCTAGATTAGCAATTGTTAAATTTTTTTAAAAATTACTCAAAACTTGAATAACATATATATAAAAATCAAGATCACATCTTCTGTTTGCTTTCTTATATAAGTTCAACGTAATAAGTATTTAATTTTAACGTAAAAATATCAAAAATTATAAGAGAACGCCGACTAATTCCAAGTATATGCCCGCGCAAACGTTTTATTTAAAATATATTGACATCTAAAGTTACATGGCAAAAAATTTATAAACGAAATTATATACATATATATATATATATGTATATATATATAAATAAATGTATACAGAGTGTCTCAGACCACCTGTATCAGCCGATTATATCGAAAACTGAGCGCAGCAGACAAAAATGTTTCAGACAAAAGTTGTAGGGCTTCAAGTAACGCATTACATAGCAATATCAGTATAACCTTGAAGAGTTGTTAAGGTCATATAAAAATGACCTTGAAATTTTTAAATGGAAGCACCTATATTTCATTCTATATTCTTGTAGCTTGTCTCGAGAGCTTTTCAAAACATTATAATTAAGTCTTTTTATTAAGGAGATACCGGATGCCTGTTTTATCGATCGGATGATTATAGATTTTTTTGCACCGAAATCTTTTTATTAATTTAATAAAATAATAAATGCTTTTCCACATTAAAACACGTACAGAAACAAAGTGGGAACTTACGATTTTATGTTAAAAACAAGAAAAATTTTAAAACTAAAATTTCTTTATTGACTTCTGTCATCAGGTCGAAAAATAATTGTTTAATATAAAAGTTCTGCTGTTTGTACGTCCAAAATAAGATAGGTTTCGACTAGAAATTGAATGAAGAAGTATTAGTAAACTTTTAGATATAAGTTTAGAAGCTTAATAAATAAGAAAACGGTGTAGAAAATTTTCGCGCATATGTGTTGTATACGTGCATATGTTTAGACATGTGTGGTGCTAACCTATCTGATTTCGGCCGCTATTCCGGCATCCCTTTAAGTAATTTTCGAGTTATGGAACTTGAAAGTTACAGTACCATTGACGTTAGCATTACTCAAGGTCTACTGCGCGGAGGTTGCCCGGTCGGATTTACATTATTTTTATGTGCGTGCGTGCGTGGCTAAATGCTACATGTGATTAGGCCTTATGTTCGAAATGTTTATCGTTTTCTTCAATACAAGCACGTATTCTTTTCTTGAAATTATTTGTTGCATAAAGAATTTCATCGGCATCTAAAGAACGAATAGCGTCGCGTATTCTATGAATCATATTATCTCTTATCGTAGGGCGTTCGCAGTATACCAGATATTTTACTCTTCCTCACAAATAGTAATCGAGAACACTGAGATCCGTTATCGTGCTGGCCTATTTTTCTATTCATTTGTTTGGAAACATATTGTTCAATCGTTGACGAGCAACTATAGATGTATGCGCTGGGCATCCATCTTGCTGAAAAACATGTTTAAACTTAGTTTAATTGTAGAGGAATATTTTCAAGTAAGAGCGGAAGATTATTTTCAATGAAATTGATGTATCGAACACCGTTTAGGTCCTCTTTAAAGAAAAATGGCCCAACGACATGTTTTTCAATAATTCTACACCAAACATTGATTTTCCAAACATGTTGATGATCAATTTCTCGGACCCAATGGGGATTTTCTTGTGCTTAATAACGACAGTTCCAAGTATTTACAGATCCTACACTTTTAAATGTGCATTTATCAGAAAATAAAATTTTTTGATGAAAGTTTTGTGATTGTTGACATATTCAATTGCAAAATTTAAGTTTGTTTCTAAAATCGACAATTGTCAATGCTTGGTGAAGACTCATCCTGTACGGATGTAGCTTGTTTTCAAAAAAAATCCGCTGGATTGTGGCACAACTAATACCAGAATCTCTTTCTTTATGCCCTAATGAATCGTGGGGATGCAATTGAGCAGATGCAAGAATTTCTGGCGTCTTTTCTTCTATAACTGGGCGTCGAATTTGTCTACCTTTATTGTGATCTAGTTTAATAATATCTTTATTAATAATTTGTTTATTTAAGCGAGAAAAACGTATGAGTGAGGAACACGATCTGGGTATCGTT